CTGTACTCACCCGGAAATGTAAGACTTGGCTGTGTGTACTGTATGGCTGGTTTTAAGCTTCCAGGTTGTCTTTGAGTTCTGGGCCTGGGCTTACAGTGCAGAGGAAGAGCTAAGCTTTAAATGTGTGTATCATTAACCATATATGTGAAAATGCTGGGCAGAAATACATAGCTTAAAACCTTAAGAAATCTGACCCCTGACCTTACAGCAGGCCTCTGGAAAGAGCCAAATTTAGGCCTAACTCAACAGTTCTCTGACAGGGGCCACAAGTTTGAAAATGAACAATGTTGGTCTCCAGTGAAAGGCCTGGATCTAGGCTATATATTGCCCTATCACTGAAGTAAATGTGATCCTGTTGAAGAGAGAGCCAGGCCTCTGAGTCAGCAGCAATTCTACCCTCTTCGGTGAGACTCTGTAAAAATGCATCACCTGGGGAGAGGTTTATCCTGTACTCACCCGGTAATGTAAGACTTGGCTGTGTGTACTGTATGGCTGGTTTTAAGCTTCCAGGTTGTCTTTGAGTTCTGGGCCTGGGCTTACAGTGCAGAGGAAGAGCTAAGCTTTAAATGTGTGTATCATTAACCATATATGTGAAAATGCTGGGCAGAAATACATAGCTTAAAACCTTAAGAAATCTGACCCCTGACCTTACAGCAGGCCTCTGGAAAGAGCCAAATTTAGGCCTAACTCAACAGTTCTCTGACAGGGGCCACAAGTTTGAAAATGAACAATGTTGGTCTCCAGTGAAAGGCCTGGATCTAGGCTATATATTGCCCTATCACTGAAGTAAATGTGATCCTGTTGAAGAGAGAGCCAGGCCTCTGAGTCAGCAGCAATTCTGCCCTCTTTGGTGAGACTCTGTAAAAATGCATCACCTGGGGAGAGGTTTATCCTGTACTCACCCGGAAATGTAAGACTTGGCTGTGTGTACTGTATGGCTGGTTTTAAGCTTCCAGGTTGTCTTTGAGTTCTGGGCCTGGGCTTACAGTGCAGAGGAAGAGCTAAGCTTTAAATGTGTGTATCATTAACCATATATGTGAAAATGCTGGGCAGAAATACATAGCTTAAAACCTTAAGAAATCTGACCCCTGACCTTACAGCAGGCCTCTGGAAAGAGCCAAATTTAGGCCTAACTCAACAGTTCTCTGACAGGGGCCACAAGTTTGAAAATGAACAATGTTGGTCTCCAGTGAAAGGCCTGGATCTAGGCTATATATTGCCCTATCACTGAAGTAAATGTGATCCTGTTGAAGAGAGAGCCAGGCCTCTGAGTCAGCAGCAATTCTGCCCTCTTCGGTGAGACTCTGTAAAAATGCATCACCTGGGGAGAGGTTTATCCTGTACTCACCCGGAAATGTAAGACTTGGCTGTGTGTACTGTATGGCTGGTTTTAAGCTTCCAGGTTGTCTTTGAGTTCTGGGCCTGGGCTTACAGTGCAGAGGAAGAGCTAAGCTTTAAATGTGTGTATCATTAACCATATATGTGAAAATGCTGGGCAGAAATACATAGCTTAAAACCTTAAGAAATCTGACCCCTGACCTTACAGCAGGCCTCTGGAAAGAGCCAAATTTAGGCCTAACTCAACAGTTCTCTGACAGGGGCCACAAGTTTGAAAATGAACAATGTTGGTCTCCAGTGAAAGGCCTGGATCTAGGCTATATATTGCCCTATCACTGAAGTAAATGTGATCCTGTTGAAGAGAGAGCCAGGCCTCTGAGTCAGCAGCAATTCTGCCCTCTTTGGTGAGACTCTGTAAAAATGCATCACCTGGGGAGAGGTTTATCCTGTACTCACCCGGAAATGTAAGACTTGGCTGTGTGTACTGTATGGCTGGTTTTAAGCTTCCAGGTTGTCTTTGAGTTCTGGGCCTGGGCTTACAGTGCAGAGGAAGAGCTAAGCTTTAAATGTGTGTATCATTAACCATATATGTGAAAATGCTGGGCAGAAATACATAGCTTAAAACCTTAAGAAATCTGACCCCTGACCTTACAGCAGGCCTCTGGAAAGAGCCAAATTTAGGCCTAACTCAACAGTTCTCTGACAGGGGCCACAAGTTTGAAAATGAACAATGTTGGTCTCCAGTGAAAGGCCTGGATCTAGGCTATATATTGCCCTATCACTGAAGTAAATGTGATCCTGTTGAAGAGAGAGCCAGGCCTCTGAGTCAGCAGCAATTCTACCCTCTTCGGTGAGACTCTGTAAAAATGCATCACCTGGGGAGAGGTTTATCCTGTACTCACCCGGTAATGTAAGACTTGGCTGTGTGTACTGTATGGCTGGTTTTAAGCTTCCAGGTTGTCTTTGAGTTCTGGGCCTGGGCTTACAGTGCAGAGGAAGAGCTAAGCTTTAAATGTGTGTATCATTAACCATATATGTGAAAATGCTGGGCAGAAATACATAGCTTAAAACCTTAAGAAATCTGACCCCTGACCTTACAGCAGGCCTCTGGAAAGAGCCAAATTTAGGCCTAACTCAACAGTTCTCTGACAGGGGCCACAAGTTTGAAAATGAACAATGTTGGTCTCCAGTGAAAGGCCTGGATCTAGGCTATATATTGCCCTATCACTGAAGTAAATGTGATCCTGTTGAAGAGAGAGCCAGGCCTCTGAGTCAGCAGCAATTCTGCCCTCTTTGGTGAGACTCTGTAAAAATGCATCACCTGGGGAGAGGTTTATCCTGTACTCACCCGGTAATGTAAGACTTGGCTGTGTGTACTGTATGGCTGGTTTTAAGCTTCCAGGTTGTCTTTGAGTTCTGGGCCTGGGCTTACAGTGCAGAGGAAGAGCTAAGCTTTAAATGTGTGTATCATTAACCATATATGTGAAAATGCTGGGCAGAAATACATAGCTTAAAACCTTAAGAAATCTGACCCCTGACCTTACAGCAGGCCTCTGGAAAGAGCCAAATTTAGGCCTAACTCAACAGTTCTCTGACAGGGGCCACAAGTTTGAAAATGAACAATGTTGGTCTCCAGTGAAAGGCCTGGATCTAGGCTATATATTGCCCTATCACTGAAGTAAATGTGATCCTGTTGAAGAGAGAGCCAGGCCTCTGAGTCAGCAGCAATTCTGCCCTCTTGGTGAGACTCTGTAAAAATGCATCACCTGGGGAGAGGTTTATCCTGTACTCACCCGGTAATGTAAGACTTGGCTGTGTGTACTGTATGGCTGGTTTTAAGCTTCCAGGTTGTCTTTGAGTTCTGGGCCTGGGCTTACAGTGCAGAGGAAGAGCTAAGCTTTAAATGTGTGTATCATTAACCATATATGTGAAAATGCTGGGCAGAAATACATAGCTTAAAACCTTAAGAAATCTGACCCCTGACCTTACAGCAGGCCTCTGGAAAGAGCCAAATTTAGGCCTAACTCAACAGTTCTCTGACAGGGGCCACAAGTTTGAAAATGAACAATGTTGGTCTCCAGTGAAAGGCCTGGATCTAGGCTATATATTGCCCTATCACTGAAGTAAATGTGATCCTGTTGAAGAGAGAGCCAGGCCTCTGAGTCAGCAGCAATTCTACCCTCTTCGGTGAGACTCTGTAAAAATGCATCACCTGGGGAGAGGTTTATCCTGTACTCACCCGGTAATGTAAGACTTGGCTGTGTGTACTGTATGGCTGGTTTTAAGCTTCCAGGTTGTCTTTGAGTTCTGGGCCTGGGCTTACAGTGCAGAGGAAGAGCTAAGCTTTAAATGTGTGTATCATTAACCATATATGTGAAAATGCTGGGCAGAAATACATAGCTTAAAACCTTAAGAAATCTGACCCCTGACCTTACAGCAGGCCTCTGGAAAGAGCCAAATTTAGGCCTAACTCAACAGTTCTCTGACAGGGGCCACAAGTTTGAAAATGAACAATGTTGGTCTCCAGTGAAAGGCCTGGATCTAGGCTATATATTGCCCTATCACTGAAGTAAATGTGATCCTGTTGAAGAGAGAGCCAGGCCTCTGAGTCAGCAGCAATTCTGCCCTCTTCGGTGAGACTCTGTAAAAATGCATCACCTGGGGAGAGGTTTATCCTGTACTCACCCGGTAATGTAAGACTTGGCTGTGTGTACTGTATGGCTGGTTTTAAGCTTCCAGGTTGTCTTTGAGTTCTGGGCCTGGGCTTACAGTGCAGAGGAAGAGCTAAGCTTTAAATGTGTGTATCATTAACCATATATGTGAAAATGCTGGGCAGAAATACATAGCTAAAAGCTTAAGAAATCTGACCCCTGACCCCGGGCGGACAGGCATGCCAAATTGAGTCTGTTCTGGTTTCTGTGGAGTCATCCAGTAGAGTCATCAGTCCTGCTTGAAATTCAACCCCGAGTCCAACAGTGCAAACCGTTTGGCTCTAGCACCTTCCTATCAAAAGTTATCCCCAAAAAAACTCACCCGACTTTTGACACTTAGAAATTAGCTGTTATTTCCTGTCCGCAGTGCGTCATATAGGCCGCAGCCGGGACAGCTTCTGACAGCTACTCTCCAATTTTCTCCAAAACACATCAGTCCTACTTGAAATTCAACCCCGAGTCCAACAGTGCAAACCGTTTGGCTCTTGCACCTTCCTATCAAAAGTTATCCCCCAAAAACTGTGTGTCATTCTAATCTGTAATATGGCATTTACATGTTTTAATTAAAGCAGTGGAAGCTGACTCATTTTACCCTGGTCTCCTAGAGCAGAAATAATGACTTAAATGAAAGCTGGCTGAATCAGAGTGTCACACTCTCATTCTCACCGTGTGTACAGATGCAAATGCCCCCCTCCCCCCACAGGCAGCTGCAGGACAGCTATGACTGTCTGCAGAGTTGCCTGTGCACAGGGTCTATTATACTCTGATCACATGTGATACAAAGGAAATTCGGCCAAAATCAACAAGTTAGTGTGTAGGTAGCTCTTTAGTGTTAGCAGGTTTAAAAATAGGTGTTTAGAATATTTCTCCTCAACTTCCACGCTACGCTCGGTTACCAACAGACATTGTTGAGTTTTTCAGTACAAGAATTTTCCAAGAAATGATCAGCTATTACAGTGCTTATAGTCGAATCTTTATTGTTTGCTATGTACAGGGGAGATAACAAAAAATCAAAGACACTGTTATGTACATAATAAAATTAAGATAAGTGTCAAGTTAAAAACAATTGCAATGTGCATACAACATGCTGTGTATATAGATATTATTGCAAGAGTGTTGAATGAATGGCATTTTGTTCACTCATCCAGCCAGTCGAGGTTCAGTCCTTCTCCCCGAAAAGATGTGCGCTTGACGCCATAATTAAAAAGCAGCTCCTCACAGATATCAATGTCTCTTGTGGCCTGCAACAGGATGACATCCCTCTCTCCTTCAGGGAAGTTCATCCTGCAATAGACTGGCCTCAGGTTTGCCTTCTTGGAGGAATGATTGATCCTCCGGCCCATGGTGTCTTCTGTTGGGTGACACCCACACGGGAAAGTCTGAGCATCTACGCAGAGGTCCCGACCACCACCATGGAAAAAGAAAAGGTAGCCCATCTCATCCTGGATGGACTCCATCATCTTCCGGCCCTCTGCTCCTGTGATTACCTTGCCATGGTAATCGCAAACAATGGATCCCATGGAAAAGGCTTTGGTGGCAACAACTCCTGTGGTCAAAAGAAGGTGCAATTAGTATTCACTCCAGGAGCACAATATCACAGTGTTTTACTGCTGGATTAATGCTCGCCTGCTCACAAGACATGTTTACATACCATGTCCTTTTGTGCCACCAAAGTCCTTGAGGGCCAGGCCTGTCCACTTTTGACTATGGAGCGTAGTGAGGATCCATGGATCCGTCTCCACCTGCACCCTACTGACTGGTTTCCACTTTGCCACTACGTTCTCGGGGCGAGGACAGTTGGCAGTCCAACCCTCTTTTTGGATGAGCAATGACACCTTGCTGACTGTCGGGGGCCGTCTCGAACACTGGGCTGTCAAAGACAAATGTTAAATTAATTTTCTTGTCCAAAATGTGAATTATGTTACTTTGATTATAGAAATATTGTTAACCTAATCTCCTAGCATAATTTCCAGAACACCAAGATGTGTAATCATTTTTTTGAATGATAAAGTGCGTCAACTTACACAAGAGGTGCTCCTCCCGCTTGGCAAACTGCACAGACCTCCACCTGTCATAAAAGACTCTGTCAGGTGGAAACCCTGCAGCGGTCCGTTTTTTTTTCGTGGGTGGGGTGCTACTCGCCGTCGCCGGGAAGTGCTGGAGAAACGCTCCAAAGTCCCTGTCATCCTGGTCAGCTGCGCCTCTGCCTCGCTTCTTTTTCCGACCTATCCTCTCATCAGCCGGCTCATCAGAAGGAGAGCTGAAAAGAATATTTCATAGTCAAACTCTGGTAAACAGAAAATATATGAATGTTGTATGTTTTGGATGATGACACAAACCATGTCGAAGTACTGAATCTGTGGGCTCTTCTCACTTCTTGGCTTGAAAAGCTTGGTAATTCATACCTGCAATGAAGAATAAATTTTAGATTATACCTCAATTCTTTCAGCATATTTTTCTTACAGAAAATAAAATAATATTATTTGAACTTGATGTAGTACATAAGCCAGCCACTCAACTTAATCCTTTTATATTTCTCTGTACAGCGTGTATAAATGCATACACTATAATACATGATTCTGCTAAAACTTACTGTTCATGCAGACGGTTGAGGTCGCTCGCAACGTTGCCAACTGGTATGCCCTGTTTGGACAGGAAAAATCTGCCCTGGTCGTCCACACTGTCCTGCAGACATGCTGGACGAACCTTCTGGAAGTATGCGTCCAGCATCTGTGGAGATCAGACAGGAAGTTAATGCTTCATTCTGATGCTAAAGTAATTCATATTAAGTCTTTTCAGGCTGCTAGAGAACTTATTACAACCCCACCATCCCCTAAGTCTTGATTTACAATCATCATCAGTCATTCATTGGCAAAAGTAAAAAAAATCATCATCAGTCATTTATTGGCAAAAGTAAAAAAAAATCATCATCAGTCATTCATTGGCAAAAGTATATGAGGAGGTGCTGGTGTCCTCTGGGGGAGGGGGGTGGGGGGGGGTCAATCATATTCAGCCTTATAGAGAACTTACAGCAGAGTCCTCCACTGCGAGGGAAAATGTTGCACTCTTCTTTGTGGACGCTGTCAGTTCACTGACCCCCATTCGGATTCGTCCCTCAACATGTGTCTTGTTGACCCAATCTGAAGCCTGGAAAACAAATAAAGAACACAGTGGGGATTAATGACATGACTACAGGGTGACTTACTGTACAGTGTTTCCTCAGTGTGTATAAAGTCAAAGTACTTACTGTAAATGCCCTCACTGCTTCTGGTCGCTGGAAGTATCTCAGGACCAGGATGGCTTCGCAGAAGTAACGGAACAGCGTCTTTTGGTCTTCTTCCACATGCTGCTGATCCAGGAGCCTCCTGCGGATGTCCAGCATGTCCATCTGTGACACTCTGAGGACTCTCTGGCAGTCTTGGAGAGTCGGCTGAGCAGGTCTAGAATGATTTGATGAAAAAAACAAACAAATAAGGAGGCCAGTTAGAAATGTTTCTGTATCTGTGCCTGGCAGCGTTCCAAGATTTAAATTTAATGACTCTGCATTAAATAAAAAGTAATACTAGTGAATAACAACTCACTTTTTGTTGCAAGTTTCAACTGCAGCGCCTGGTGGTCTGTGACTGGATTCAGCAGGTGTGTCCATGGGGTCATTAAGAATTAAAAAATGCATGTCACGAAGGTCTTCCAGAAGAGCCTGTCTGGAAGCCTCATCGGGGTACCGCCTGACCATGACGTTGTAGTCCCAGGTTCTGCCTTGAAGGGTCCAGGCCTTCATCGACTTTTTGGCTCTGTCCACCTCTGCATTCCTCTCCTCATTTGTGTGGTTCTTCAGGCAGACTCTTAACAGGTGGTTAGGCAACAGCTCCTGTGGTCTGAAACACTGCAGACAGGAAACGATGCGGCGATCCTTGTCACTGTGAGAGAGAAGGTAGACGGTTTAGTTTGATTAAAATCGTTTCATAAAACAAAATATTCCAGAAAGACTTGAGACAAGGAAGTTTTTGATTTGGCGCTACATAAATAAAATTGAATTGAATTTAATAGCGTTGATGGGAAAAAAAGATTGGATTTGACCTAAATGGCACAATAATCACATTCTCAACACAGACATGTTTACTTATGTCATATAAAGAAAAACTTTGAAGGTGAAACAGATTCAAAAGGGAGGGGGCTGGTGTGATCCTAATACAATGAGGTGCAAATTGGACACTCTAATTACAATGCCACACTGCAGTCCAGACTGCTGCCTCTGAAAAAGCCTTTGTTTTTGGATTTTAGGCCATGATCAAATATATGTTCTTGTCAAATTATTATTTTATATACTTATTATTTCTAAGTCAGGGACAAAACACATACAGCTTGTAGTTAACTCAAAGTTAAGAAAAGAATAACTGTAGTAACTTAGTAATTTAGTCATTAAGGAGTGTTTTGCTAGATTTTTGCTCATAGTATTGTCAACCAACAGGCCACCTGGGTACAGCAGTAAGGCTGTTAAATAACAAGAAATAGATTATTTACTTAAGCTTACAGATGTTAGTACACGTGAATGCATTCTTAAAATGTAAAGACAGAAAATACAAATGATCTGAACTTACCGCTTGGGAGCCATTCTTCGCAAATGAAAAAGCTAGTTTACAAACAAAGAAAAATGCAGGAGGAATCTTCAGTGTTTTCTTGAAGAACTGAGTACATGGTGCCTCTGAGGTCTCACCTTATATGTCCACTTGATAGTCCCTCCCACCTTTCTGCAGCAGCCAAGAGGGGGGTGGGCTGACCATGACTGATTTGTTTTTAAATAAAGTAAGTCAAATGTAAGAAATGACAAGGATGAGTTACATAACACATTTTAATACATGTTCAGTGTAGGGAAATCTGATTATTCTGATCATTACATACAATGTTGGCCTGAAATACTGAGCCTGAAATTTTGGGAAATGTTTGATTTGTAGGCCTGGGCTTGCAGTACAGAGGAAGAGGAAAGCTTTAAATGTGTGTATCATCAACCATATTTCTGAAAATGCTAGGCAGAAGTACATACCAAAAACTTTAAGAGATCTGACCTCTGACACCAGGCAGACACAAGTTTCAAAATAAACAATGTTGGTCTCCAGTGAAAGGCCTGACTCTAGGCTATAGATAGTATAGTAAATGTGATCCTGTTGAAGAGGGAGAATTTTACCCTGAACTCACCCAAAAATGTAAGAGATACAGGACAAGCAGACTCATTTTACCCTGGTCTCCTAGAGCAGAAGTAATGACTTAAATGAAAGCTGGCTGAATCAGAGTGTCACACTCTGATTCTCAGCCTGTGTACAGATGCAAATGCCCCCTCCCCCCACAGGCAGCTGCAGGACAGCTATGACTGTCTGCAGAGCTACCTGTGCACAGGTGCAAGTTTACCTGGAATGTGGTTGTTTAATTTAACTTGAAGTGGGAGAATTTTACCCTGAACGCACGCAAAAAATGTAAGAGATACAGGACAAGCAGACTCATTTTACCCTGGTCTCCTAGAGCAGAAATAATGACTTAAATGAAAGCTGGCTGAATCAGAGTGTCACACTCTGATTCTCAGCCTGTGTACAGATGCAAATGCCCCCCTCCCCCCACAGGCAGCTGCAGGACAGCTATGACTGTCTGCAGAGCTACCTGTGCACAGGTGCAAGTTTACCTGGAATGTGGTTGTTTAATTTAACTTTCATCAGAAATAAGTTGTTTGCAGCTAACCAGTCAGGGAGCATCCAGCATACATACAAACAATTTGTTTCTGTCTGTAAACAACCTGTACAGTTTACCCTCCTTAGTGACATGTAAATAGGTTTGATGTATGAATACATCTTTATTAGCAACCACTCAGAGTTTGACATGTGGTTCTATTATACTCTGATCAGTGATCTCAGAACAATGGAGGTGTGTTTTGGACACACACATCAGTATGGCACACAAGTTTTTAATCATCACATGTAATAAAATGTTAAGAAGGAGACTACATGAAAAAGTGAGTGTGTAGGTTTATAATGAGGTGGAATAGAAGCTCTTTAGTGTTAGCAATTAAAATTGCTGTTTAGATATTTCTTTCCTCCCTCTGCAGATGCTTTCTTCCTTTGCAGGCTGATGGTCTGTGGCCTGCTTTCTTCTGTCTTCCAGCACACTCCATGTCTTCCCTCTGCAGATGTTTGGAGCTCTGTCTTGTCTGCAGAATCTGTCTTGTCTAACCAAGTGTCTTGCTTACAAAGTCACACCCTGCCCCCTCTAAACAATAGTAAGCAACCCGATTGGTCTGCTTGACCATGACATCACACAGCTGGTGCTGCACAGATAATAAGTACTGCAGTTAAGGAACCATTCATTCACTTTGTTTTCGATTCTGACTGCAGAGACCACCTTTTGCCCTTTGCAAGGACATTTTCAACTTGAGCTACACTCCTGTTTTTGTGCTCCTTGTCTTTGGCAGAATTTTCTATACTTTCATCCCAAGACTCTCACTCCCTTCCCAAGGACTTCTTTTTATTTTTGGAAAATGGCAGCAAAAGCCGACAAGTAAGTTCAAATTTCTTTTCTCTAGTGGATTTTTACTGTTTGTGTTGTGTCTAATCACATCTGTGCCTGTAATTGACAATTCAGTTGACATGGTATGGATAAAGGCAGGATAAAACTAATGTTGATAATAAGCAAATTGTGAAAAACCCAATTATAGTTTTCACTCTGTGTTTTTCTATTATCTGTTTAAATTAAGGCTTGTCCCAAAAACATGTTGAAATAGTTTCCAGAGTGAAAACTATATTTGGGTTTTCCACAATTTGCTTATTATCAACATTAGTTTTATCCTGCCTTTATCCATACTAACTTAGGTCACCATAAGTAACAAGTCACTCCTTTGGAAACTATTTCAACATGTTTTTGGGACAAGCCTTAATTTAAACAGATAATAGAAAAACACAGAGTGAAAACTATATTTGGGTTTTCCACAATTTGCTTATTATCAACATTAGTTTTATCCTGCCTTTATCCATACTAACTTAGGTCACCATAAGTAACAAGTCACTCCTTTGGAAACTATTTCAACATGTTTTTGGGACAAGCCTTAATTTAAACAGATAATAGAAAAACACAGAGTGAAAACTATATTTGGGTTTTCCACAATTTGCTTATTATCAACATTAGTTTTATCCTGCCTTTATCCATACTAACTTAGGTCACCATAAGTAACAAGTCACTCCTTTGGAAACTATTTCAACATGTTTTTGGGACAAGCCTTAATTTAAACAGATAATAGAAAAACACAAAGGAGTGACTTGTTACTTATGGTGACCTACGTTAGTATGGATAAAGGCAGGATAAAACTAATGTTGATAATAAGCAAATTGTGGAAAACCCAAATATAGTTTTCACTCTGTGTTTTCTGTTTAAATTAAGGCTTGTTTCTCATCCCAAAAACATGTGAAATATATTCCAAAGGAGTGACTTGTAACTTTTGGTGACCTAAATTAGGTCAAGGGTGAAGTGTGAATTGGTCAGCCACTTTAGCACAACTCAGGCCTCTGTCCTAAGAATGCTGAAAAACCAGTTCTGGTAGCACTACAGTATGAGAGGTTGTGGAAACTGAACCAGTGGAATACTTCCCTCTTAAACCACAACTTTCTGTATATTTGTAATTTTATGTATATTTTATATTTTAACTGTATATTTTATGTAATAGACAGTCCAGCCACAACAGCAAGCAAAAACATTCATTCATTTTCACAGTTGTAATCTTTGGTGTGTCTGCTTTGTCTCACAGCCAGAAGTCCGATCGTCGCATCGTTCACTGCCTGCTGTGTGAAAAACCACAGGACATGCTGACGACGCATCTGAGCAGGGTCTGCATGAAGAAAAGCACGCCTGAAGAACGGCTGGAGGAGGCGAAGAGGGCCAAGGAGTCCTGCAAGGAGTGGACACGGGGGCCAGAAACTGGGACTATAAGGAGATGTGCAAGCGGTACCCCCACAGACCATCTAGGCTGGCTCTTCTGGAAGAGCTGCGCCAAAGAAAGTTTTTTGTGGCCAATGCTCCGAACACTGCAGACCTGGACTCCGAAGAGCCGTCCACCAGCACAGCTGCCGTTCCCACAGCCAGTGGCCTTTCTGGAGCAGCCGGTGGCAGCTCTGAAGCGGCCGGTGGCGTCTCGGTGGCGGAGGATAGCAGCTCTGAAGGCAGCTCCACCGATCCAAGTGACCGAACATGGCAAAAGTAAGTTCTAAACCTCACACACACACACACACACACACACACACACACATCAGTTCAGAAACTGTGAACAAACTGCAAGATTGATTTGAGCTCATTTTCGTCTTTCTCTATTTTTTTCAGAGATCAAGCAGAGCAGAGCAAAGGTGTCCGTGCCAACATGATGAAGATGGGGCTGTATGAAAAGTTCCCTGCAGAAGAGGCCATGCTGACGGATTTCAAGGGCTACCTGATCAATACCCTGCAGGTCCCAAACTGCCAGCAGGAGGTAAGATATATCCCATGTGTCTCTTTTCAGTCTGTTCCATGTTGCTCTTTGTAACCGCGAAACGTTTTAAAATATAGTAGCACAGCACATGTAGAGCAGCTCTCTGCGTATTAAGTTCCATAACAAATTTAGATAAAACACAGCTTTTTTTTCGGGGTGTCTTTGTGCGGCTGGCTGGTGTGTGGCTTTTCTTCTCGCTGCATCGTCATCTCACACTTCTCTTTTTCTTTCATCACAGGTAGACAACGTCTCCAGGATGCTGAGATTCATCCAGCCAAGTGGGGATGAAGTCAGCTTGGACTTCCTGCTAAAGTCAACTGAGACCAAGGACTACCTCACCCAACTCCGTCACGCTGAAATGGGCCCAGCCACCATACTGAACTACATTAAAAACATGATACGGTTTGTTCAGTATTTGAAGACCCACCTCAACCTGGCTGCAGCGGATGCTGACTTCTACAGGAAGTGCCAGGCCTACCTCGACCTCCTCGTTGCCCTCAGAAAGCCAGTGGCCAAGTCCAACAGCAAGGTCACCTGTAAAACCAGGTCAGTCTGCCTCCCATTTATTTTACTTTAATGACTTCCTGCATGTTGATAATACTCATGTGCTGGCTGTACATCTGGGGTTATGTGACACAGACATGTGTGTAATCCTCCCCTGCATTGTTTCTTGTCTTCTATCATGTCATTCTAGGTTTGAACGGTTCCACGAGGGTCAGAGGAGCCTTCAGGAGTGCCAGGCAGTCCTCCGGAAGGCCAAGAAAGACATGCTGTCCATTTATGGGAGGCTGATGGAAGGCGACCACGTGGCTTCAGATCAAAAGACGCTGTACCGGTATTACTGTGAAGCAATCCTGATCCTCGGTCACTTCCAGAGACCGGGGGCGGTGGAGGGAATGACGGTAAGACCTCAGTTTTTGTGGGAGTATTTTAGGGGGCAATATTAGGGTATATTAGGTAGTCTGCGAAGAGGGCCTTTATGTCAGTTATTCACTCTGTGTGTATTTTTGTTTTTTCAGACAGCAGAGTGGGGGAAGAGAAAGAATGCTGGGGGCAAAGTGTGCGTGGCTGTCAGCGACCACAAGACTGCGACAATGCAGATTGCTGTGTTTGCCCTCACTATGGAGGAGGCTGCAGTAAGTACGCTTAATACAAGCTAAATTGTCTTACCATGAAATACAGTAACACCAACAATGAACCAACAGATATTAACAGATATTTTTTGTTTTTCTCTGCAGATGCTGGACGCATACTACATGTGGATCCGCCCTGACTACATCCGCCCGGGTCAAGATAATGAAGACAGGCTGTTTTTGTCCACAGCGGGCACAAAGGTCAGGAGTGCGGGCAATGACGTCACTCGCCTGCACACGCAGTAAGTATTAACAGCAGTCCATAGGTCCAAAAATATCTGTTGAATTAGCGTAACGGATTTGTGCATTTAATAAATAGATCATGCCCCAAGAAAATTATATAATTCAAGTTTGGGAGCTTCATCTGATATTTCTCCCCCATTGCAGCTACAAACTGCCGGACATCAAGAGCCAGGAAATTCGTAGGACCGTGGAGACAGATGCTGCTGCCAACTTCACGGAGGAGCAGAAGGCGTCTGTGGCACACTACATGGCCCATTCGACTGCTGTGGCAAACCAGCACTACAGGATGAAGACCCTGGACACTGTTGTGGCGACCGCGAACCTGCTCAGCTCCCTGACACGGTATGTAATCATCTGAAACAGTCAATTATTAATTAAATATTAATAATTATAATGTCTCTCAGTGCTCACCCACCTGTTTGTCAGTGTGTAACCTGGAAACCTTTTCAATATTGCAGCTCCTCTTCTGACGACTCTGGCGAAGAGGGTGCCCGGGAAGAGAAGAAAATGCGAGTGGAAAAAGAGGGCAGACCAACCCCGGACTTTAAAGTCTTTCTACAGGTCTTCCCTGTAGGAATCACTGGCCAGCCACCCAACAAAACGCAGAGAGCAGACGCTGGGTTCCCCACCGATAGAGCCTTTTATGACAAGTGGAGGGCTCTGCAGTACGGCAAGCGGGAGCAACATCTTTTGTGTAAGTGTAGATACTTTCTTAGCCAAACATTTACAACTCGTGTCTGACTATTAATTTTATTAATTTAAATGTTCTCTCTTTGACAGCAAAATGCTCAAGATGTGCCCCGACACTAGCGCAGGTGGCGAAAATCATCGAAGCAGAGGGGTGGACGGCCAATCATCCCCGCCCAGAGGACATAGTGGCAAAGTGGAGGCCGCTCAGCAAGGCACAGGCGCAGAGTGACCCGGCCATCGTCAGGGGGGTGACCAGGCAGAAATGGCCAGGTCTGGCTGTGAAGGATTTAGGGGAGAAGAAAGGACAAGGTATGTACAAATACAGTAAAATCCATCCAAAACATGACTATAATTA